ATGCTACATGATTGGACAATTTTTGTGATTGATGGTATTGTCGAGGAGCTATATATATCCACTTGTGTTTAGAGGGAAAGAAAGAAACGATGGTTAATAATATTTTTAGTCCCCGTACCATATTGTTTTAACAATTACCTCCCTGAGTTGTATAAGCTTGCAAGCAAGTAATTGCACTATGTTGAAAGTTTGGTCAAAATCAGTTAGTGTACCGACCCATGTTTAGTAAACAGTTACTTAGTTGATGGTTTCACATGCCATTAAGTTTCAATTTGAAGGATGCATAAGAGGATATGGGTCATGGGAGATCAAGAGTCGAATAATTCAAGGGAGAAACGTGACGTACGTGCGAGTAATCTTAAGAACACGTACTTGTAATAAGCATGTCCGAAATTTTGTCCACGATTGTAATAAGTAGGACTGACTAAACTATAAATTTTTAATGCGTTATGAACGATCCCACATGCCATGTATGTTAAAAGCTCATGTGTTCATTCCTTCACATGATTGTTCAAATTAACATACATGACATGTGAGGAATAAATAAATAAAAACATTCTTACTTATTAAGCATGTCCAAATTCTGTTGAAAACCCTAAGTAGGCTTAAGTTGTGCTCAGGGGTGGGCGTTCGTTCGGTTCGGTTTGAACCAAACCGAACTGGTACATGCTGAATTTCCAAAATTACATACATCCCAACCGAATCCGATAAAACCGAACCGCATGCCCACCCCTAATTGTGCTTAATAAACACAATATCGACGACCCACATGTCATGTATATTAAAAACTTATGTTTCACTCCTCAATAAAACATTATTGAGGAATATATAGTCACATAAAATAGCATAGGGACCAAGAATTAATGTCATTATTGACCCCAAAGTATATGAAATTGAACACTTCTGAAATAGACAAAACTCCAAGCATACATCCATGTCGACTTGAGTAGGGAAACCAAGTGGGGTTATAAACGAAAGCAAGGTATAGAATGTTAAGCATATATATAAATCATATACTTAAGGGGGGAAAAAACAGTGTGCCAACCCACTTTTGTTTAGTGGATTGCTATCAATACCTCTCCATTGAAAGAACTATTTAATTTCCAACGAGAATCATGAGTTCAACTTTGCATCTTTGTTATAGGTGATGGAAGAAAAACAAACTAGATAGATAGTAATTAGATACTAATTAGAATTGAATTAGGTAGGGTAATTAAGTACCTGGGATTAGGGGTGTTCTTGACAGATTTCTTGCCGTACTTCCTCCACTTGTAGCCATCATCCATCACATCCAGCTCTGACCTGGTCCTGAATGCAACTCTATTGTGCGCCACTTCTGATTCCTTGTTCATTTTCTGCTTTCCATTACTGATTCTTCTGCTGATTTCATGTTGGTCTCCATCATCAATATTCCTGTGTTAACAAATCAAATTTTGATCCCAATCTCAGTTAGAAGAAGAAGAAGAGTAAAGCATTGCACTTTGAATGATCGCGGTTACAGAGAAAGGCAAGATGATATACATGGAATCCGAAACAAGAGTAAAACATTCTTGGACAAACGGTTGAAAGCACACCGAGTTTGAGAAATACAACAAAGGAAAGCAAAATATAGAGTGAAAAAAAACTTAGCACTTGAACCAAACATAGTTCGACCAGAATCCCTCTTACTTCCAACCAAACAGATTGACAACAAGGTCAGAATCAGCTCGTCGCGTACGATCACAACCAAACATAGAGTAGTAAAAGAAATTGTCTTGTTGTCCAAGATGAAATACCGTACTATATTCATTTGCACCTTCTAGAGTACAAATGTCTGCAAAGGTCAATATTTTTTTTGTAACATCAAACTTGAAACTCGAGTAACGAAACTCAACATTAAGGATTGTACGAACTCTTTGAGGTTGTTGGTCCAAAGCGATAATGATCTGGAAAACTCTACTCCGGAGTTTTCGAAATCCAGAAAAACCAATAAATAAAATTTTTCATTTTCAAATATGAACCGAGAGGTGATTAAGAGATATGGACGAAATCCCAATTTTTGAAGTTTCCTTTTTTGCCCCTCTCATTCATGACCCATAGTACTATATAAATCAATCACTTGTATGAAAATGAAGTGACCAAAGTGACACTGAATAAAGAACAGACATAATTTTGAGCAACTTGCATGCCCAAATTGCTGTACGTATAAACAGACAAAACAAGTCTTTTTATTCATTAATAACAACAACCCAAATAAGATCAGTTTCAGTATGTACCCGACAGAGTTCCAAGAGCCGCCATCGCCGCCGGACCCGATCTGGACCGGAGAGTCGGTAGTAGTAGTGCCGGCGAAGCTGTGGTGGGGATCAGGTGAGTAATAATCATCCATGTAATTGCTATTATGATCATCATGATTATCGCGTGCTTCCTCCGGGAACAGGTAATCGGAGAAGTGGAACTCCGGGACGGCGGCGGGACCCGCGAATTGCGGGAAGGACGGCGGCGGCGGAGAGTAATTATCGTCGGCGGGGTAGTTAGGGTTAGGGTTTTGATTGTACGGGAAGAAGTTCATTTCGGGAGAGGAAGAAAGAGAAACAGTAACTAAACTCAGCTCAGCTCAGCTTTACTCTTTCAAACAAAAAAACAAAAATTATTGGATCGAAATAAAAGAAGAAGGTTTGTCTATGGCTGCCGATATTTATATAAATAATTAACCCTTTTTTTTGTTGTTTTTAAGCTGAAAATGAGGTGCAGCTTCATGGACAGTTTCGTATCGTGGGGAGGGAGATGCAGTGAAGCTTCCCGCTGTGGTGCCACGTGGCGCGCGGGAGTGGACAAAAGGTGACGTCATGGTGGTGAGGTCAGCCCCACGTAGCATTGTTTCGAGCAAGGGATATTGGAATCTACTTGGGCGACACGCGACGATGAATGTCCTTATCATCGGTTTACAAAACCGTACGGTAATTGTGGTTCGATCAGAAAAATTCGGTTTATAGAAATGCATGTTTACAGGCAGTTTTGCGAAACGAAATGAAAAGGGTTGAATTATAGTTGAATCGCAATTTATGTGAGTTTGAGATCAAACTGGTAAGAACATCAAAGAATTCAGTTGCCGAACAATTTTCGATTTGTTTATCTATTAACCTAATCTTTGTTCTAAGTACCATCATTACTCAGTCACTTGAATCCTGTTCATCCATAATCTCAGTGCGTAGAGGATCTTTCCTCCCAACTTCCACCTCCAAAAAGTTGAGGTTCACAAGCTAGCCCTCATTTCACTTCACTTCACTATGGCTGACCTCTCCTTGAAATACATGAGATCATAATATTGTCACATCATATGTCTATGCCCGGTAGTATCCTCCGACACGATATTTGAGATTGTATTATTCTGATATGATCGAGATTATATTTTTAATTATAAAAAAATCTATATTATTCTTATTAAAGAGAATTAAAAAATATAGTTGTTAAACCATTTGCAAATTATTTTTTATGAACCTAATCTTTGTTCGAATTACCATCATTACTCACTTGACTCCTGTTTATCATAATCTCAGTGCATATAGAGGATCTTTCCTCCCAACTTCCACACCTCCAAAAAGTTGAGAGTTCTCAAGTCCTCATTTCACTTCATTATGGTTGACTTCCCTTCCCCATAATTGAGATGTCTCAAGGGCCTATTCGGCTCGCCCGAAGACGCACTTTTCTAACTAAAAAAAGGGGGTCCTCAGGTTATGTAACCAATTCATCAATGAAAAGAAGCTCTGCCCATCTGCAACTGCAATTGTCGTGACTGAATCTCCTTAGGTTGATCTATGCAAGTGTAACTTCTTATAATAAGATATACTCGATCTCTCTATATACTCTATAGAGCGGCCGGTCCGAGAGACTCAAGATATAAGTCAGTGTCATCCAGTTCGACACCTAAACTGGGGGTTGCTCAGACACCTGCGCGGTAGGTGGGATATTCAAGGGCTGAGTGCATTTGTCTCTCTGAAATTGGCACTGCAACCGTTGGCGTTGGAGAAGATTCATGTATCCTTGCAGTGGAGGTGGTTCCAAAAGAAGAGACGAAAGTTCTAATAATGATAATGTCACATCATACCTTTGTGCCTAACAGAATTCTCCGTCCGATATTTGAGATTATATAAATCAATTTCACTTATATACATCGATAGTCTGGTAAATAAAACGACGCATTGCGATCAGTTACGTATGTAATTGTGAATTTCGCCCCTCCATCGCATCAATTCGCCTAACCCGGCTTTCATAATTTTCACCAATGTTGTTGACTTTAAGTGGCCACTGCCCACTGCTGCATCATGGAAGCTTCTTCCTCTTCAATCCGTTTTTGGCTTCTTTGGTTTTCCTCACCCCTTTCCTTAATATGTGAATTGTGGCTCCCAACCAAACTGCCCAAACAGCTGCAGATATGTTCAATGATAGTAACATTTAATCAATGGTCAACGCTCAACACCACACTTTAACTGATACTGACGTGACGATAAATTCAATCCGATTCTTAAGACTAGTACCTTTTCGGAGAGTAGATGTTAGTACGTGTTTATACATTTTCATCTATTAAATTTACTATAAGAAGTAGTGCATTTTCAACCAGATAGTACAATTCCAGGAAGCTGATCTCTCTCTCGATGGTGCGGGAATGTTAATTAGTGGGCCAATTTTGACAGTTAGTAATTGTTGGGCGTGTGACTCGGGCCTGGCCGCGTCAAGGAACGGACGCAACTGGATGGACTCCGACATAGCAGCGCGAAGACCCCGAGCGCGACACCTCATCGTAGTCAACTACGTCCTGGCGCGAAGAGTTTGTGCGCGATGTGAGTTACAGGCGCCGAGGAAGAGCGTAGCGCAGGCAAAGCCAAGAGAGGAGGGAGGCGTAGCTTTCCTCCCCAGGAAGTGGTCACATCAAGGCCAGTGGCAAATCTCTGACACGTCCTAGGTAGGGTGATGGCCTGGACAGGGTCTAAAATCCTTAGCATGTACCAGTGGTCACATCATTGTATCCCAATTGTCACATCTTGTATCCCCACTTGGGTCAACCACTCACCCACCACAACGAAGCCTATAAATACGGCATTTACTACGGTGGGTGAGGGGATCGCATTTTTCACCATTCTCTCTCTATAACAATTACTTCTCTTTCTAAAAGTTTGGACTCCGGTCCTCGCTCAACTCTCTAATTCCTCTCTCCCCGATCGAACTTGACGCTCGCGTTTCTTCTTGACCCAAACTCTCATTCGAACCTCACTCCTACACTCAGTTAGGTTCAAACAATTGGCGCCCACCGTGGGGCAAAGGAGAAACGCTAAAGAAAATCCCCCGATGGCAGAGCGCAACCACGACCAGCCTGACCAAGCAACACCAGTCAAGGCAATGACCGACCCGAGGATGTTCGCGGAAGCCAGCAACCTCAGCGCCGTGCTCATTGAAGAAGAAGAGCCCGAACTGACGGCAAAAGAAATGAGGGATCTAGTGAGAAAGCAGAACGACGTCATAGCCGACATGCAGAAACAAATGAGCCAAGTTATCGCGCTCATGATGAGCAGGGATAGCGCGGCAGCGACTGGTGCGGTGGCGGACGCGCCTCGACAAACCTTGGCGGTAGCGCCACAACAGGCTTTGGGAGAAACGTCGGGCACAGCCCAGCCACCCCAACACGGGGCGACGGAACTCCCCGCGTGCGAAGCGCCGGGGATCGAGCCACCAGAGCGGGCGGACCTCAGCTTCTTAGAGCAACATCTGTCTCCGCAGTACCGACCCAACCCGGCAAAAAGAGTCCTTCACCAGCCGCTGAGCGCGCAGATAATGGCGGAGAACCTAACAGGAGCGACGCCCGCCCTCCCGACATACAACGGCACGACCGACCCGGAAGACCATGTAAGCACCTTTTGCCTGCGCATGCAACTCCAGACCAATTCCAACGCCGCGCTATGCAGAACCTTCCCGTCGACATTCACCGGCATATGCCTCGACTGGTACAACCGCCTCCCAAATGGAATCATCCACTCATTCGAGGAGTTCATACTCCTGTTCACAACGAAGTTTGCGTCCCAGAAACGGCGCCCGCTTCACCTCAAGGCCCTGATAGATATCAGGCAAAAGGATGGAGAAAACCTGAGAACTTTCTATGCCCGATGGTCCAGGATAGCAATGGCCGTCCGCGACCTCACCCCCGAAACAGCCGCCCATCACCTCATGGAGGCCACCAACAATATGGAGCTTAAGCGGGCGTTGGCCAAGAGACCCGTCACGCTATCGACAGAGTTGGAGATGAAGATCGAAAAGGCGATCACGTTGGAAGAAACCTTGGGGGCAGGGTCCGTCAGGCGCTTTGAGCCGGCGAAAATGCCACGAGAAGAACAGGCGCGTCGTCAGCCTCCAGCCGTGATCCCACGAGACCACTTGCTACAGATGCACAGTGGCCCGAAGCGCGCCCCTCCTCCCCCACCGGAGCAGGCGCAACGCGGCCGATCGCCGGACAGGCGCGCGCATAACGCCTACACTCCCCTTAATGACTCAATGAGGAATGTGTTCCATGTCCTTCGCGAGAAGGGTTACAAGATCAACTGGCCTGCCCCGTTGAAATCCCAACCCTACATGCGCGATCCACATAGGCATTGTGAATTCCACAGAGCAACGGGGCACCGAACAGAAGAGTGCCGGGACCTGAGGTACGAAATAGAGGGCCTCATACAGCGAGGGCTGCTGACCGAGTTTGTTCACGTGAAAAAAGAACAGGTTGAGCACCCACAGCACCCGCCGCCGCCACCGCCCCAAGCTGAATATAACGATGACACGGGCGCATATGTAGTGCGCAAGGAAATTGGGGTGGTGACGGTCGAAGGAGACCGCCCCCAGAAGAAAACCAAACGGGAGCGCGCGATGGAGTGCGCGACCACCGACGCGCCGTCAAGGTTCAACCTGAGCTTCGACGACGCGGAATTCCCACAAGGAACCCCATCAGAGGAGCCGCTCATTATCACCGCGCTAATCTCCGCCTGCAAGACCCACCGCCTCCTGGTAGACGGAGGTAGCGCGGCTGACATCCTCTTCCAGAGTACCATTGACAAAATGGACATCGACCGGCGCCTAATCAGGCGCGCGCATGGCAACCTAGTGGGCTTCTCCGGGACTAAAGTCCCGGTCATTGGAGTGGTCACCCTCCCTGTGGTGGTCGGCGACCAGGAGCCTCGCGCCTCAAAACAGGTAGAGTTCACGATTGTCGATTGCGAATCGGCGCACAACGGCATTCTAGGCCGGCCATTCCTTGCGAAGTTCCTGGCTCTCCCATCAACCTGCCACCAGAAACTCAAGTTCCCGACACAGAGAGGAGTGGGAGAAGCCCGGGGAACGACGTGGGAAGATCGCGTCGTGACTCGACAAACCAACATCGTCGACACAAGGGCGGAAGAACCCCGGCCGGAGTCGATGGATTCCGATTTTGAGGTCGCGCTAGATCCAGCTGAGCCGACCAGGAAGATACGCATTTCCACTCACGTCAGCAGTGACACAATCGAGCCGCTCGTGGCACTGCTGAAGGAGTACAAGGAACTGTTCGCGTGGTGCACGGAAGACATGCCAGGAGTGCCCAGGGAGGTAGCCCAACATAGCCTTGCAGTGCCAGCCAACGCAGAGCCAAGGCAACAGGGGCGGAGGTCCTTCACGGGCGATAAGCTAAAGGCGATAGAAGAGGAGGTGACGCGCCTACTGGCAGCCGGGCTAATCCGACCCGTGAAATATCCAAAGTGGTTGGCAAATGTGGTATTGGTCAAGAAGTCATCAGGGGCCTGGCGGATGTGCGTCGACTACACCACGATCAACAGAGTGTGCCCAGGAGACCCTTATCCACTGCCGCGCATCGACCAACTGATCGACGCAACCGCAGATCACGAGACGTTATCCTTCCTCGACATGTTCTCCGGGTACCACCAGATCCCCATGTCAGTGGAAGACGAAGAAAAGACGTCGTTCATGACACCGTTTGGAAACTTCTGCTTTGTGGGGATGCCGTTCGGGTTAAAGAACGCGGGCGCGACGTATCAGAGAATGATTGACACGGTCTTCTCGCGACAGATCGGGCGGAACATCGAGGCATATGTAGACGACCTCATCGTCAAAACGAAAGCGGGCAAGTCGCACCTGCAGGACCTGCGCGAGACTTTCGAAGCTCTCCGCCAACACAGCCTTCGCCTCAACCCACTCAAGTGTGTTTTCGGAGCGGAAGCGGGGAAGTTCCTCGGGTTCATGATAACCAAGCGCGGCATAGAGGTCGACCCAAAGCAAATCACCGCAGTCCAACAGCTGCGGGCGCCCCGGAATGCGCTGGAAATCCAGTCCCTAAATGGCAAAATAGCGGCGCTGGGGAGGTTCATACCGCGATCTGCCGACAAGTGCGCGCCCTTCTTCCAAACGCTCAAGAACGGGGCGCGCTTCGCATGGACTCCAGAATGCGAAGCAGCGTTCCAAGAGCTAAAGGCGTATCTTGTATCTCCCCCTGTACTAACGGCCCCCAAGCTTAATGAAAAACTTTTCTTGTATCTCGCCGTGTCAACAAGGGCCGTGAGCGCGGTGCTAATATCTCGAAGAGACGGCAGGACCGAGCGACCGGTGTATTACACCTCGCGCACTCTTGTAAGCGCAGAAACAAGATACTCCTCGATCGAGAAGGCTGCCTTGGCGCTCGTGAGCGCGTCGCAGAAGCTACGCCCGTACTTCCAAGCGCACCAGATCACCGTCCTGACAAACCTCCCGCTAAAAAAGATTCTGACATCGATGGAAGTGTCGGGGCGCATGGTCAAATGGGCGGTCGAGCTGTCGGAGTACGACATTCAATACGCGCCAAGACCAGCGATAAAGGCACAAATCCTCGCAGACTTCATTGCAGAGGGGGTAACCCTCGAAACAACACCGGAGGGCGTCTGGGAAGTCTATGTCGATGGAGCGGCGAGCAAACACGGCGCCGGGGCAGGAGTCGTGGTGCGCACACCTACTGGCGTGGTGCACGAGATCGCAATCAGGTTCCGAGCGTTGAAGACAAACAACGCCGCGGAATACGAGGCCATCTTGGCGGGGATGACAGCCGCTCACGACCTAGGGGCAAGAACGATACGGATACTCTCCGACTCCTCCTTGGCAGTCAACCAGCTGAACGGCGCGTTCGACGCAAAGGAGGACGCCCTGGCACACTACATGGAACGCGTCAAAATGAGAGCGGCAACATTCGAAGCAGTAACATATGCGCAGATCCCAAGGGAGGAGAATGCGCATGCTGACGCACTATCTAAACTGGCGACGGCCACCGACTTCGAGTCCACGCGCCTCGTGTCCGTTCAAAAAGAAGAAGAGGATGCCCCTTCGGAATCAGCGGTCAACACAACACAGCTCATGACAAACGAAGACTGGAGACACCCAATTGTGGAATACCTCCAAGATGGGACGGTGCCGGAAGACCCTAAGCAAGCTTGGGCGCTAAGGCAAAAGGCAGCTCGGTGCACACTCATCGAAGGGAACCTGTTCCGACGATCATACTCGGGCGTCTACCTCAAATGCATCGGGCAAGAGGAGGCACAAGATTTGGTGCGCGAGCTGCATGAGGGGTTGTGCGCGATGCACGCAGGGCCACGCAGCATGGAGCGCACCATCCTCCTGCATGGCTACTACTGGCCGAGGATTAAGAAGGATACGAAGAATTACGCGGACCAATGCCACAAATGCCAAGTCAATGCGCGCCAACACCACTTGCCGGCCACCGAGCTCCAAGGCAACTTGAGCCCATGGCCTTTCGCGCAATGGGGAGTCGATCTCTTGGGCCCTTTCCCAACAGCAAAAGGGAAGCGCAAGTACATAATCGTGGCAGTGGATTACTTCACTAAGTGGATCGAGGCCGAGGCACTGGCATCCATAACGGCACAACAGGTAACGCGTTTCTTGCGCAACAACATTTTGTCACGCTTCGGGGTCCCAAATGCACTCGTCTTCGACCATGGGAAGCAGTTCGATTGCGCAGACGTGATAGACTTTTGCGACGAGGTGGGGACCATTGCAAGATTCGCGTCGGTCGCTTACCCCCAGGCCAACGGCCAAGCAGAGTCCTCCAACAAGGCAATCCTACATGGCCTCCACACTCGCCTGAATGAGGCCAAGGGCAATTGGGCGGACGAGCTACACACGGTGCTATGGGCGCACCGCACTACATACAAAGTGGCTACAGGCGAAACCCCCTTCGCCCTCACGTATGGCACTG